ACATTTTGTGTGTTACCTTTATTTATGAAATATCATGTTCTTCGCATTTATGCCATAAAACTCAGTTCAAGAGTAATATCGCAAAATAATTTTAAATTGAGCATATCATTAGAATTTCCGATACACAGTCTCACGCGTTGGAGATAAAAAATGTTTTTTCTGTACAAAGTTGCTATTGAAATCCTTGAGTTTATTAATCAAAAATTCGTTAACGTTTTACAAAATATGAAATCGACAATAAAGCAAATTCCAAATTGCAAATTTGGGCTTCCAGATGACCATATTTTCAGTAGGATTACGTCATTCGAAATTTGATAGCTGTAGGTACCGTTATTTTATCACAATGCGAAAAACATGCATACATTTATGCAGATTCTTAATTATTTAATTTCTTCAAATATAATACAGGGCGATAGTATTTGGTGGCAACAATTTGAAAAGTGAAACGGACATTCAGAGTGATTCGACGCAAAATCGCAAAACGAAAATAATAGTCCGTCAGGGACAAAGCACCTTTGGATTAAGTGATGGTCAAAAGTGACTAATAATTGGTAGAATCGAGAGAGGTAAAACACTAATGGAGGTCTCCCAAGATTTGAATATCTTTCAAAGTGCCATATCAATAGTATGGAGCCGGTCATTTGATAGGAAATCTGGTCAAGGACGAGCAAGAGCAACAACTGAATCAAAAGACCATTTTCTGTCGTCGTCGACTCAAACTGCGAAGTGACTTCAAGAGACTAGAAGAGAAACACGCTAATCTGACAATCAAAATCGTAAAAACAACCTTTTATTTAACGTAAGTATATTGAAACACTCAATCGATTTCCAGGGCTGCTAAAGGTCCCTCCTCATCAGGAGAAAGAAATACCTAGAAAGATGAAAAATAAAGGGGAAAGTTGCCCTTTATTTTTCTTCTTTCTAGGTATTTCTTTCTCCTGGTGAGGAGGGACCTTTAGCTGCCCTAGAAATCGATTGAGTGTTTCAATATACTTACGCTAAAGGTTGTTTTTACGATTTTGATTGACTTCGAGAGATTTTGTTTTAGACCTCCAGGCTGCCACAGGAATTCGGATTAGCTGTTTTACTGTTGCACGAAGGCTTAACGAGGTTGGACAGGAAAGAACATGCGAGAAAAACCAATGGTTTGTGTTCCACTCATTCCATCTTCCTAAGGAGCTCGTTTAAACTGGTGCCGTCGTTATGTTGAATGGAGCCAGGAAAGAACACGCAACTTGCCTTCCCTTGTGGATGAAATATCCAGTTTCCGCTACCGCGATTTAATAGTTTGGGGAGGAATTATGGCAAATGGTCACACTGAGCTGCATATCGTTCAAGGAAATTCTGTAACCGCTCAGAGATATGTGGACGAGGTATTGGAACTCCAAGACTGTTTACACTAAAAAACTATGAGTTTACACTAAAAACGAGGTATTGGAACTCCAAGACTGTAACACTGTTTAGAGGCGATGTTGGCCCGAGGTTTTGCTAATGGGTGACAATGGTTGGCCTCGTCGAGCATATGTTTTGTCAGAATACTTGCAAACAGAGGATATCACTCGAATGGATTGGTCATCTTACCCACCCGACTTGAGCACGTGTGTGATGCCTTAGGGCGTCAAATTTCAACACGCCAAATTCCTTCTCGGACCCTCTAGGAACTGAGAAGTGTACTTTTAGGAGAGCAGCTTATAATTCTGCTAGACTTGATCAACATTTTGTTAAAGTCTATGACATCAAGATATGATGCATGCATATCTGTCCGTGGTGAAAGTACACCATATTAAAGGAAAATATTTTCCGCAAGAGGAGACTTAATTGTTCCATCATTTTTCAGTTTCTATAAATCTGGTTTAAATTTCAATATTTTGCGAATAATCAACTGCCAAACATTGTAATTTATGTTAACTAATGATTTTCTTCAAAGTTTTATTAATAATGTTTCATTATGTATTAGTTACGTTTTATTTATACCCTTTAATTTTGATGACTAGTATAATAACAGAAAATTCATGTATAATTTATTTTTTGAGAGTATACTCGTATTTGCTACAGATTTTTAATTATTTGAAGATAAAAATAATTTCTTCATAAAATGCACCTAATAATAAGATATAATGCTTTTCGAAGCACTAATTCGTATATAACTAAGCGCTAATATATATATATATATATATATATGTAATAATAAAATTCCATAGTCAAGAATACACTTGAATTTCTAACTGTATGTTCTTTTCATTTTTAATGGCAACGTTCTCTATTTTGAAAGTACGTGGAATTAAATCCACAGCCCCGTAGTCAAGTTGTTTTTCCCGCCTTTTCTACACGTACAGTTTAGAATGTTCTGGAAATATTTAAAGCGAACTGGATTGGCTGACGAGGCTGACGTCATTTCTTTGAAGCTCCGCCTTTCCAGAGGCTATAAAAGGACTCGCAAAAGAATATCGGGGCTTTTTCTTAAATGTTACGATGCAGTAAACTTCATACAAAAAGTTATTAGTAATTCTTTTTATTTACTCCGGATATCTGATTTTGTAACTGCTATTTCTCCTGAATAATAATAAATGGATCCTGTTTTTTGAACTTATCGTCTGATAATTTAAGCTACGACTACATTTATGATTTTTCACCAATCTTTCATTCTGGACAAAAGCTGGTACATCACATATATATATATATAACAAAATTATGTCATCCAGATGAAAGATTTCAGTTTATTTATTTAAAATCATACGTGAAATTTGCAGAATATTATAGTAGTTAAAAAAGTTAAAGAAATTTCCTTGCTGCTAATGCAATTAAAATTAACCTTTAATATGCGGCAGAATTTTTATTTAGATTATTTTTGAATTGTCAAAGGAAATTTCTCAGTTATCCCAGTTGTTAAAGAAATAAAATTAAAATGAAAATCAAGACTTATTTTACACTTTCTTGAGAGCTTTAAATGCAAAGAAAAAGTACATTGCTGAAAGAGGAATTAAAGAAGCTCAGCTTTTAGCAATTAACTCTGACTGCTTTATGAATATATATAGGTAGCTTGTTCATGAACACAGCGCTAAAATCTTCATTGTATATGTTTACTAAAAACAAATATTTCTCACAATAATAATAATACAATAAGCCTACACATGAAGCAAAAATTGTAAAATCTGAACTTATTAAATTTACTTCACTTTGCTTCGTAAGCTTATTTTACATATATTTACTGCATTCATTTCTTTTGAAGATATCATTATTTTTAATATTCCTATTTATATTCAAGGAGTTTTCAAATTTTGACTAAATTCTGTATTCGCTATGTAATTGTTAATAGAAATTGCTTACAATAAGATGCCTTTTGAAACGATATGCGATTCTGAAAGCAAATTTAATCACCTCATTACAAATGTTTGTGATACCTCTTGGAATAAATAAAAATTCTAATGGGTAAAGGAGGCTAAAAATGTAAAATATATTCATTGCTAGAAAATTAAATGATATTTGTCTTCTCATTTCAAAAGCTTATTTGTTGCAATTTATTCTATTCACTAGTAACAGAATTTTAATAAAAGAAATAAACTCTAACAAAATAATTGTTTACACGTAATTAGTATGGATATATAACAAGATGTCGTGTAAGCGTTAATATTCAGGAAATATTTTTACTCTTGTAAAGATAAGTGATTACGAACAGACATATTTAGATGCAATCTTCATCATGCATCAGAAATAGATATAATGTCTCTTTAGAATATTCTTAGGCTGTCTGCAAAATTTTTTCAGAATCCATTGAATGTGATTACATTACGACAAAAGATATTATGTTGCTAATCTAACGGGAGATCTGTTTTCGTAAAGGGTTTTCTGAAAGATTGCATCTTTGATTAAAGCAGGCCCCAGAAGGGCTATATGCCTAAGAAAAGGACTGTCTTCGTGGAAGATGTTATAAGTAAAACTGGCTCATATGTACATTACCTATGGAAGAAACAACGAAACTATTTAAGCAGGCAGTCCGAAACAGAACGTAAACCAAATTATTTATGATCGGCAGTCCTACGATTCGGCTGTCGGGGGGCTGTTTTTACGGTTGTCCAAATGGGAATTGGAAACCTTACTGTAAAGTACTAACATAAAGCTTAAAAATTTAAAATCCCTTAGTATGAAAGAGTACTTACAGAAAATGAAGGTACTTTTAAATTAAGGCAGCTAACTGCGAACGCAAGCATTCACATTTGAACTTCGATTATTTAATTGTCATCGAATTCACGCAGCGAGTTCTTAAATTATCGTCGAACCAGTTTTCCCTCTCTCTTGAATGACAGACAGCACGGACAAAGAAATAACGAATAATGCCGAACATTCTTCTTTTATCATTTTTGGTAAAAGTAAAAAATCCCGTTTGAAGTTCCTTGGATTAGCAGATAAACTTTGCTGTATAGAAAAGATGTGTTGAATCAGAAAAGATGTCATCAGAGTAGTCTTAAAAATTATAAATAATTTGTTGTATACGCGAGGAAATATCACAATAAGGAAAAAAAGATGATAAAAATTATTTTAGTTTTTCATAACCAAAATTAAAACTGCACGATTTTTAATTGAAATCGTTTTGAGGCACTTTGTCTTAGAACTCAAATGATACTAGTGAAGATAAAATTTCTTCAATAACAGGAAAACATGTTTCGAATTAGTAATGTGCTAAAAGGTCTAGATAACTGCATTAATCACTCGGACGGTATCCTATAGAGCTCACTTTATTTTGCAGATGGAAAGAGGCAAATTACAAGGATATTTCAGCGATTTTCTCTGAGAGAATTCTGTGCAAGCTTTATTATACGTAGATAGTGGTGATTATGAGTAGATATTATTTTCTACGACTGCGGCACAGGATACAACACAAAATGCATCTCAGGTTTTCTCAAGTCTAAAATTGTAATTCCAACACCGTTCCATCATATACAACGTTCGGTCTGACCGTGTATTAACCGGATAACGTCAGATTCTTTCAAAGGATTACTTACTTATCTGGCATCAAATCTCGCTGGGGCCAACACACTTCTAGTACTGCACTTTCACCTGGTCTTTGGACTATTACCACTTTACCTTTCAACATTGTCTACACCAAGGTTCTCCAGACTACGGCCTGCCTTTTAAAATAAGCAAGGTAGAATACACATTAACTATTTATATAACAACCAATTTATATGCCTGTCATGCACGTTTCTTATGAAGCATATTATAAAAATTATGCAAGCGTTTCTAAATTTACAATGAGCAAAATACCGTAGCACTCTATTATAAGCAAAATATCGTAGCACTCTATTAAAATATCTTTGATTGCACTATTTACAGGAATAAAGTTTTTATGTGTTTACTTTACTTACTTTCATAGTAGTATTTTAGCTTTGTTCATACAGAGTTTTTGCAGGGATTTTGTTTGAAACCCAATTTTTTGTTCTATATATGTTGTAATTAATATTATGTTTGGAGATTGTTTTCACGCAAAACGTGTCCAATTTATGAAATTCCCTAGAGCGAAAGTTTGAACCTGGTCAAAATGTTCAAAAAAGAGGGATGATAAATTGTTACAACCAAAAGATAAATCCACATGAAAGTAAAGTTACATTGCAAACTGAAGGAATCTTGTTATTCTGGAACAAGAATATTTTTCCAAACATTTAAACAGCTCTAAGTTAGTGGAAATTGCAGGAAAATTTTAAAACCAACACTTTTCTTTTTGTCATAGAGGTACAGAATCAATTGCAAAAATCTCGCTGCCTTGTTTGAAAACAAGTGTATGCTATTCATCACAATTACATCAGCATGCTATGATGAACTAACTTCGTCTTCGCCTTCAAAGCTTCGTGGAAGAGCCGAAACGGCCCGTGTCTAAAATGTTTGGAGAACCTGACTATACCATCAAATTACTTTACTTAAAACTAAAGAAGTTTGTAAGTTTCACCAACTTACCACATGGGCATCAAATGTAACACCTGAATGGGTTCCAACTAATTACCTGATAGAATTAAATTTCAATAAGGCGTTACTTATTAAACGAGGTGAATTAGGACGTCCGGAATAGCTAACAATGAAACAGACTACAGAATTAAAATGCTTTAAATTTATTCCTCCTTACCACTTATGAGTAATTAAATCAAAATATTCAGCCAAACTGTATATGATTTAAATTTACCAGCCAAAGTGGATATGATTTCATCTCAAAGCTTCCTTTTACGAATAATATAAATTTAACAGTTTAAAATTAATCTATGCAGAATCTACAAGATTATGTAAATCACGGCAGAGTTTTAAACACACACTTCCCAAGCAGGCTCTAACTTCACTCTAAACTAATCGAGCACGAAGAGTGTTTTTTCCTAAAAACAGAGCAACAGAAGCATGACGAAATCTCACATTCCTATTATTCATAAAATTATACACTTTGTAGGAAAACTGCTTACCACCCAAAATCATAAATTCTGGAATGAGCGAACGTCGTGTTGAAAAGAGATAGAAAAGAAAGAATTAAATTAACTTAATGTTTCGTTAGTAAACTTAACATGAATGCCTCAGTGTAACAAAATTATTTTCATATAATTAAATCAGAATCAAGCAATGCAAAATTTATATTTAGTTCACAAATTTGTTTCTTCATCAAATATAGATAATTTAATATGCCAAACTATTGCATGCATGTAACGAACTCTGTAAACTAACAACTGGAAAGAATGAAAATAAGGCTTAGTATCTGTAATTATTTTTGAATTATCTGAAATATTGCATAAATTAAATTACAAATCAACATCGAAACTAAGCCTGTGATCCTCTATTTGTTTCATATATTTTATTTCAGAAAATTTTAAATGATAATTTACCGTATTCCACTGAATGTTAGATGATTTCACATCTAATAGAACCTTCCTCTTTGAGATCATTTTAAAAGATGAAAAAAGGAAAAAAAATACTTAAATGTAAAAAATCCTCACATACAAATAAGTTTGTTATCTCGAAGGTGTTGCCTAGGAAACATAGTATTACGAAATGTACAGACGCGGTAAGATAGCTTCCGCGCAAAGCAGTTTTAGGGTTGCCATAAATGGCAAGGGAAGGTAGGGTTGTCTATTTGGGGAGAAATGGCCATTTGGTGACATTTGGCGACAAAATTGGCGATATGCCATGGACGGATGGAGAAACTTTTGGAACGAATTCGTACCGGTTTAGCCCAGAATGTTCTCGAACACAAGCCAAAAAACTATATAAACCCTGCTGGTACGCAGAGAGTCAGAGTGCGAGATAGTTAGTCTCGAGTTAGTCATTCCTTGCGGAGTCGATCGAGTTGACAGCCGGGTAGCGAGTGCCGGAGTGGGTCGTCGAGTGTATTGAAAGAGTCTCTTAGTGTATCACCGTTAGTGCATCGTCGAGGGAGTGTGTTGATCTCCGAGAACGACTGAACCGAAGAGTTGGGAGCTGTGCTCTGTGTGTCGTCGAGTGCATCTCGAGTTGTAGCGTGGAGAGTCTTGAGAGTACGTGGAATTCCGAGAGCGACCGAGCAGGTCGGGAACTGCAATGTGGTGCTTTGTAGTGAAGCTGTCTCCACCGTTATTGCCTGATAGTGTGAAGACTGTGTCGCTGATTGTTCCAGCGTGTTTATAGTAGATCTTTGACGACTGTAAAAGTGTTTAGGAGCTGTCCTGATTAATACCGTCCAATAAAGTGTGTTTCGATATTCCATCAAGTACTGTCGTCGTAATTCACTCCAAATCCACAGGAATCCCGTACGAACGTGAAGGAAGAAAACAACGTAACAACTGGTGTCAGAAAATAACGCAACGATAGTAAATGAACCATATTTAAAATAAAATTAAATAAATTCGGCTCTATTGACATAATATTTAATAAATGTGTCATGAATTATATCAATGCAATATTTAAATGTCATATTTCGTATATAATATACCTAGAGTTTACATCGCATCAGAAGTTAGCTTTGCATCTGTTTAAATTGAATAGATTTTTTTTTTTTGCTTAGAATTAAAACAGATATAGTTAATCAAAAATAAAAATTATTTCCTGAAGACACCCAAAATATATCTGCATTCAGAATAGATAAGATATGGCAGAAAAATATTTTTAGTCCGTGTTACGAATTTCCTTGCTTGAAGTCACAGACTACAATTTTTTAGTTTCCTTGGAGAAACCTTATAAAAATCTGAGTTTATTGCATCCTAAATGTTGACTGGAAGCCTTTTTAGCACCTTAACGACGTGAAGTTACGTATTTAGCTACATGAAAGGACTTGGGTTCCGTTCATTGTTTGAAAATTGCCCTTTAAGTTTTATGAGGGTTGAATTAGTGCTTTACGCTTAGCATAACATTTTAAATTTCCAAGACAGTAACGGCTACTAAGATTGCAATAAACGACAAGATTCTCGCAGTTCTGTAAAATAACCATGTATAATTCCTAGTTTCAAGAAGTTACCTTTCCGGTTTGGAATGGCACCATTATTAAGAAATTGTAAGAAAGCAGAAGAATATTATGCTTGTTTGGCACATTGTTATCTTTCCGGTAATATCTTTCTGATAATCTAGCAACAATTTTGCAATAAATGTTAAAAATCCAAACCTTCCTTAGTTCAATAAATATTTAACAAAGTTGCTTTGTTGTGTCGTAAATCCCGATGCCGAAATTTAATTCCAATTACAATTCGTATTGTGGTTCCAATGAGAGGATTTTTTCAAAAAAATAGTCGAATATTTACATGAACTAATGAAAACATACACAGCTTATATACTTCATAATGACTTTAGAAACCGTCTTAATACATTTCAGACAGCGAAAATAAACGCCAGCAAAAAAACGTAGCTATGAAGAGTGTAATAGATAGTACATAAAATACAAATACCTACGCTCGTCTGCAGATACGTACAATCTCGCGCATAAAAAATAGGAGGGACAACTCAGTATCTCCCGTTCTTCTCGGCCGATTAACGAAATGTAAATTGCATTTTTCATGCATTGAAAGCGCGATTTAGGATACATATTAGGTTTATATATTGCATTATTTTAAAAGGGTACATCTAAAATAACATTCCGAATTTTTTTCCATATTTCAATTTAAGTTCTATAATTTATTTTTATTTAAAGACCGAGGAAATGGTTATTTTTAGCATTGCTTTTTACTTTTTGCATTTACCGTTTTGCGAAAATAACAATGCTTAAATTTTATTTCTTTCTACTGCAGCGCTGAAAGCTTCTTTAATCATTAATATTTTAAAATACTTATATTTTAACGAAAATTAAGTAATAGCGCTTTGCTTCTAAATAACAACTCTCTTTATTTTCTGTAGTTGTTTTGTGTAATTCCTTTCTGGAATCTGATTCACATTTTGTCGAGAGTTCCTGTGTTTATCCGATGACTTATTTGCCGCTGATAGCCAAAAAAATTACTTCTGTAATATTTCGCATTTGAAGTCATTTGATTTGGCTTCAGTTTGTGAGCTGTCTGTTTTGAATTCTTCTGGATCCTATGGACAGAGTATCAAGCAGCAAATTTCGATTCGCTAAGAGGCTCTTTCAATGCTTCGAACTTCTGTTACAGGTTCAATTAAATTGATCACTTAGGAACTTCCCATTCGCCTTTCCTAAAACGATAGAACCAATTTCTTCTTCGCTTTTATTAAGCGTTTTCCAGCCGTTTATCCTTGCTATTCGTTGATGAGTTTCGATTGATAAAAGTAATTCCAGAAACACAAACTTTATAACCTATCATTGGAAATGGAAATAAACTAAAATTATTTCTTCTAACATCAGCGGAGCAAAAGCTAATCGCCTCTTAGCGAATAAAGTTATCAGTGAAATCCTCAGAAAAGATGTGGTTAGGACATTCAGAAAGCATTCTGCACTTGTAAAATCAGAGCTGATTTGCCCGCGATGACAAAAGTTTGAAATTTAACGGGTTTGATACTTGATATATAAGCCGAAGTTTAAGTCTTCATGGAAACCTTTCCAGTCATTCTCTCTATCTAAAAAGGAATTTTTAAGGGATGCAAGCACAAAAAGATTGGTAAAATCAAAATATACTATTTTAATTAGCTGACACTATGTTTACCAAAAAATAAATAAAAAGGAA